AATCAGCGAGCTTCTTTGTATGGAGACCGGCCAAACCCTGGTGGCAGCCATCTTTGTTTTTATTATTAGAGGAGGCTTACGCGCGTAATCATTCCATATTTGGAATTCGCATTTCCTAATATGGTGGGATGAAAATACCCCGTAAAATACCGCAAAATTACGGCAAGCTGTATCTTGTGGCGTTACGGTGACAGATGTATAATAATAGAAGTTATTACTAATGAAGTGTTCAAATTCAAATGTTGGTACAGTGCCCTCTTGTGCTCATTTTGTTGTTGAAATTTTACAAATCACAACTTGGAATTAATATTGCAGTTTGAGATTAGCCGAATGAAACGTTTTCTGATCAGCACACAAATCAAGGCTATTAATCACTTCAAAGAACTACTTTGTGCATTGAGGACATACCTTCTCAGAGACCAAGAATGTCTTTACTGACTACTTGCTTAAAAAATACTGCCTGCCTGAGACTAGATTTGTATTTATGCCATCACCTTTACAAACACCTGCAAAAATTGATATATAGTAGATATTTTGTAATCCCTGTCCTAAATAACTATTCAAAATAACTAGATGTTTCAAGCAATGACTTTTTATCAATAGTATGGAAGTGATGCATGTAGCAATCAATTTCAGTGGTTGGAATTCTGTGCATTGCTGCTGCTGCTGCTGTATCTACTACATGTTATAGAAGGTCAATTTATATAATGCTTTTGTTTTTACACAATGCCATCTAATACCATTGATACAAGTTATAAATCAGATCATGTACATGTACAGTATAAACATAGACCATCTAGACAGTGGATATGTGTTTGTTTGGTTGGAGTAATGCCAGTGTTTATATGCGAAAGAGAAGTAATTGCTCTCAAAAACACAAAGTTGAGGATACAAGAATAAATTTGCATCTCTGTGAAAAGGAATTTCTGTAATTATAATAGCAATAATTATAATTATGTTTATCACACAATTGATGGGAAGCAGCTTTTGATATAATCAGACATGCACATACCGGTAACTCACTCTACTGCAGCACAAAAACCTGTTAATGATTGAGATGAAATTAAAAATAAATGATGTCATGTGTTAATCATTTGTATTTTTTTTTAAACATGAACATATACTTGTCTTGGTTGACAGATGAAGGAAAACCAAATCAAAACCTGTAAATATTAGTATAACTCAACTCTGCTATGACACAGTGTATCAAATCTTTTCAATTAACTCATTTCATCAGATGTGGAGTATGTTACTGTTTTGTAAACTGTTACTTTTATTATAAAGGCTAAAGCTGACAGTAGTTCTGCAATAGTCAATGCTATAGGTTACTAAAAGCATTAATGTACTGTCACATGCAGGCCAGAACATACATCTATTCAGTTCTCATTGTCAGTTGCACAAAGAATTCAATTATTCTTTATTATCATGTGAGTATCATATGGCTGCTGAAGAAAATATTTTATTTTTTCGAAATGAATTGTTATCGAAATGGCACCAACTTTTTTTTTTTTGACTACCAGTACTACTGTATTGATTATTTTCATATGTACCATATTCATTCTCTCTTTGACAGTATCTTCAATTATCTTAATTTCATTGAACGTGTTTGTCATTTTTTATTGCTTCTTGAACAGTCTGATTTGATTGCTTTAATATTGAATATGTGAATGTCATGGGGTATTTGTTTATTTTGTCATGATGCATGTATCGGTACATGTTGATTTCTGGTCAAAACATTTATTTTCTTTTTTACATACATTTATGTAGCTTGGTGGTTCTGACTTCAATGCTATTTGGATAAGTCCTGTGAAAACAATTAATATCCATTATCAGTTCATTCACCCACTGTCTGAAAAAGTCAGTGAAATATAAACTGACAGGTTCAGTTAATATGTGGTTCTTACTAGTTAGAGATGAAGATGAGGTGAGTTCAATCAAGGGAGTGTTTTGTGGTTGGTTTGTAATTCTGTTTTCTCAGGGGATTTAAGTTGTACAACTTAATCACCATCACTGGAAAACAAGGCATTATAGAAATAGCAAAATGCCTAGCAGGAGAATTACTGTCTATAAATATTTAATAGACAACAGATTTGTGGAATAAATGTATATAATGCAATTCAACAGATTTCTGTCATAAAGATGTACTGACTGACTGACTGACACACACCTATAAACTCATCAATGGTGAATTTGACTTATTTATGGTAGTTGTGTTCACTTTAAGTGCATTGCAATATTTGTCTTTGTTTCCTACTTTAGATATTGGTTGTGTGATTGAGGTTAGGCCTTGGGTATACCTAGGGTAGTGGGTCACCTACATGTAGTGGTACATGTA